GATATATATATATGTGTGTGTGTGTGTCTATATACACATATATCCAGGCATAAACAAAATTTTATATTTATTTGTATAGACATCTGTGTATATATATCTGCATATATATTATATATATATATATATATATTATAAAAACAAAAGTTTATTCTAATACCTCTGATTCTAATCTAACACCACAGGATTGATTCTGTTCTCACCCCTTACTTGTAATTTCTTTCTTTGACAGTAAGAAATCTGGTTTTCATTGTCTCAGAATATTTTATTTCAATCCTAGTAGATACATAATTTCAGTATTTCTAACATTAATGTTAGACAAATAGTTCATAATTTATGTCTATTATATGTTATATAATAAGAAAAACAGCCAAAACCGGTTTGGCTCAGTGGATAGAAAGGTCCCAGGTTCGATTCCGGTCCAGGGCATGTATTATACCTTGGTTGCGGGCACATTCCCAATAGGGGTTGTGCAAGAGGCAGCTGATTGAAGTTTCTCTCTCATCGATGTTTCTAACTATCTCTCTCCCTCTCTGTAAAAAATCAATAAAATATATTAAAAAAGAAAAACATACCTGATAGTAAAACCAGCATTTCACATGAGCTGTCATTTCACGAAAGAAGACAAGCAAATGGCTAGGACCATGGTCAGCAAACTGCGGCTTGTGAGCCACATGCGGCTCTTTGGCACCTTGAGTGTGGCTCTTCCACAAAATACCACGGCCTGGGCAAATCTGTTTTGAAGAAGTGATGTTAGAAGAAGTTAAGTTTAAAAAATTTAGCTCTCAAAAGAAATTTCACGTCATTGTACTGTTGATATTTGGCTCTGTTGACTAATGAGTTTGCCGACTACTGGGCTAGTAAATCAATCCCATTAGTAATTTAAGAATCTCTCTATGTAAAAGTCTAAGTGACCTTTCCAACCTAACTACCAGAATGACCGGAATGACAGGTTGACTAGTCGCTATGATGCGCACTGACCACCGTGGGGCAGGTGCTCAATGCAGAAGCTTCCCCCTGGTGGTCAGTGTGCTCCCCCAGCCAACCTCCTGTGGCCAGCCAACCTCCCACTCCTTCCCCTGGGCAGCCCTGAGCACTGGCCAGGCCTAGGGACCCCAACTGTGCACAAATTTGTGCATCAGGCCTCTAGTTGAAAAATAAAACAAGAATGAGACACCATTTTTGTGACCAGTTAAATGTCTAAGAAGAATGATAATAGCAAATATTAAATCAATAAATGGGCATTTTGATGTGTTGCTAGTGGGAATGTCAATAGGCACAATCTTTTTAAGGACATTTGGTATCAAACATTCTAAAAAATGTATATACCTACTAATTCTCTTTCAAGGTATTTAACTTAAAAATATAACTATAGATGGTATTTTGATTTATGTGTAAGGAGGGTAATTACACTGTGGCATCTATACTAATAAAAGGGTAACATGCTAATTAGACCCGGTTGACTGGCCATCTTCCAGACATCCGATTTCCATTCAGACAAAACCATGGTGGTGGGGCCGAGGCAGAGGCAGTTAGGGGTGATCAGGCCAGCAGGGGAGGACATTTGGGGGCAAGATCAGGCCAGTAGGGGAAGGCTGTTGGGGGCAAGATCAGGCCAGCAGGGGAGGGCAGTTAGGGGTGATCAGGCAGGCAGAGACAATTAGGGGCGATCAGACTGGCAGAGGAGTTAGGGGTGATCAAACAGGCAGGCAAGTGGTTAGGAACCAGTTGTCCTGGATTGTGAGAAGGATGTCTGACTGCCGGTTTAGGCCCCTAAACTGGAAATTGGACATCCCCCGAGGAGTCCCAGATTGGAGAGGGTGCAGGCCAGGCTGAGTACTCCCCTCTCCATTCATGAATTTTGTGCACTGGGCCTCTAGTAGTTTATAATGGAGGTAAATTAGAAATAATCTATATAGCCAACTATCGATGATTAGTTAAATTATAGAACATTTATAGAACATTTATGCCAAGTAATACCATGTGTTATAAAAAGATGCATTGTAGCCCTGGCCAGTGTAACTCAGTTGGTTGGAGTGTCATCTCATACACCAAAGGGTGGCAGGTTCGATCCCCAGGCAGGGCACATACCCAGGTTGTGGGTTCAATCCTGAGTTAGGATGAGTGTGGGAGGCAACCAATCGATGTCTCTCTCTAACAATGATTTTTCTCTCTTCCCCCACTCCCTAAAATCGATTAAAAAAACAACAACATATCCTCTGGTGAGAATTAATAATAAAAAGATGCATTGTAGAAAAATAATTTTAATGGAAACATTTTTATTATATGTAATCAGGTTATTTAAAGACCCTTTCTTTAAACCTTTTCTTTATTCATTTTATTTGTTTATTTACCCAGTAACAGTATACTTTATTATATTGATTGCTCTTTGCCATTCCACTCCATTGTGTTTATTTTCTTTATTGTTAAAGTATGCACTTTAGTAGTTCTTTTAATAATAGGCTTGGTAATGAACTCAGTCTTCATATATCTGATAATTATTATTTTTCCTTCACTTCTAAATAATAATTTTCCTGGGTATATACCAAACTCCCTTAGCACTTTGAAGATATTCCTAACTTTTGATATCCTGCTTTGATGAAAAGTTTGCTGTTTTTATTGGTTTAGTTTATCTTTTATCTTTGATTTGCTTTTTAAGATTTTTCTCTTTGTCCTTGATGTTCTGCAGTTTCCCTTCCATATGTTCAGATAAATTTTTATTTTTCTATTTATGCTAGTTGGGGTTTATGTGCATCTTCAATTTGAGGTCCTACATTCTAATTCTGAGCATATCCTCTTTGAATAATGAATGCCTCTTCACCACTTTACTCTTTCCTTATGGGACTCCTCTTTATTGTTGAGCTTCTCATTTTATCCTTTAGGTCCCTAGTTTTCTATTTATATTTTGTACTTCTTTATTCCTCTTTGTTCGGACTGATATCTTTAGCTACAGTGTTGAGTAAAATTTTAAAGTGTACTTTTTACTTGGTTTATTTTTAGATTGGTCTGTTACTGTTTCATAATACCTAATTTTTAAAAAAGATTATATTCTTTCCATTTTACCTTTGAATATTTTTAATATACCTATTTTAATTTTCTTTTTAGATTGCTTTATCATTTCTAGTTCCTTAGTGAATTTTTCTGTGTTGTTGGGTTTGAGGACTAACTCTTTTGGCATTTAACTTCTCCATGTGTCTCCAATTCCCACTCACTATAGGACTCATTGGTGTCTGGAGATTTTCCTTTTTTGCTTTTGAACTTAAACATTACATTCAAATTACAAATAAATAAGGTAGTCTATATAACCAACACTTCAAAATTTTCAACTGTGAAAGAGAAACAGAACATTCTTAGAATAGTGGTTCTTAATGTTTTTAGAGTGATAGATCTCATGAAAGCAGTGGACACTGTCCTTCAAAATAACTCAAAATACATACACAATTTTTCATAAAGATTTAGTGATTCCACAAAGTCTTTTTGTGAACCCTTATCTCTGTGGATTCTGGTGTAAGACGTAATAACCCAATGGAATTAACATGGGCAATGAATTTTTTTTTTTTTAATATGGAAGAGGTTGTGGCTAATAAGATGCATGGAACTGTGGTGCATAACAATGGTTTTAAAGCTTGGTTAAGCAGTGGAGCCCTTAAGTTTGTGGGATCCTGGAGCCTGCTCACTTGCCAATCCCTACTCTCTTCTACCCTGGCCTCAAATGCATACGCTTGGACTTTGTGGAATACTGGTAGTAACCTCTTGTGAATTAGAAAGAGCATTTGATTGTATGCTGAGGAATCCTGGGTTCTTATTCCAGCTGTGTCACTAATTTTTTGGTATTGTTTGTAGACAGTGCTAATTAATCACTGTAAGAAAGGGAAGAGGCAATTAAAGGACATTGATGAAAAGAGTTACATACTATGTTATAGTATACTAGAGGCCCAGTGCACAAAATTCGTGCAGGGGTTGGGGGGGGGCTCAGCCCAGCCTGCAACCTTTCCAATCAGGGACCCCTCAGGGGAAGTCTGACTGCAAATTTAGGCTCAGTCCCAGGGATCAGACATCCCTCTCACATTCCGGAACTGCTGGCTCCTAACTGCTTACCTGCCTGCCTGCCTGCCTGATTGCCCCTAACTGCCCCCCCCATTCTGGCCTGGTTGCCCCCAATTGCCCCACCCCCACTGACCTGGTCACCCTAACTGCCCCCCACCACCACCAGCCTGGTCGCCCCTTACTGCCCTCTTCTGCCAGCCTGGTCACCCCCAACTGCCCCACCCCACCCCCCGCCGGCTTGGTCACCCCCAGCTTACCCACTACTGTTGGCCTGGTTGCTCCTAATTGCCACTCTGCCAGCTTGGTCGCCCCCAACTGATCCCTGCCAACCTGGTTGCTTCCAACTGCCCTCTCCAACCGCCTGGTTGCCCCCAACTTCCCCTCCTGCCAGCCTGGTTGCCCCACACAGCCTGCTGTTGTTTGGTTGTCCCTCATGCCCGTCTCCCCATGCAGCCTGTGTTCAGTCGTCCGTCCAGTAGTTTCGGTCGTGACTTTTTATATATATTAGGATAATTACATAGGTACATTATGATAACATTAAAATGAAGATTGACAATGGACACAAAACTCTGGGGAGGGTGGGTAGGTATGGGGGGGCAATGGTAAAATATGTACACAGATAATAATTTAATTTTAAAAAATGAAGATTGATACAAGCAGAAATGTTAAAAATGATTTTTTCCCCTCCAGTTGTACCACTTGACACCTTTTATATTTTCTAAACATTCTAAAGGAAATATATATTACTTCTGATCAGAGAAAAAGCTTTTCAAATAAAAGATTTCTTGAAAAAAGTCACAAGTTCATCATTAAGTTGAATATGCATTTAGAATAAATTATAAAATTACCTAATAGGAACACATTTGAAAACATTCGTAAATAAATATTTTCCCTTTAGGTTTTTCTATATGAGTAGAGAAGACAGTTGGTGCAAGTAGAAGACAACATTTTTTAGGATGTCTGAAGATGAAGAAAAAGTGAAATTACGCCGTCTTGAACCAGCTATCCAGAAATTCATTAAAATAGTAATCCCCACAGACCTGGAGAGGTTAAGAAAGCACCAGATAAATATTGAGAAGGTAAGTTTTTCTATTTCTACCACAAAAAATAATGTACATATTCAGATTTATATTTGTTGTACATTTTAGCTAAATTCAGAATATTAAATAAGCTTTGCTGAAACATCTCGCTTCTATTGATTTAGCAACATTCTTTCATCTATGCTTTTGTTGTTGTTGTTGTTGTTCTGCAAATACCCCTCTTATATTATTATTTTTTTTAGGAAGGGATATAAGAATAGGATCTGCATCTTTTTAGTTGTACATACTGACATATTAAGCAATTGATAATTAAAATACAAACAATTTGATAATGCACTAAAATGTGAAGGTGGCAAACTTTGGCTGAGGGGGCCTATCTTAATTTTATTCATCTGATGGCAAATGTTTTGAACCTTGTGTCTGTCAGTAACTCCTAATCTCTTCAGATGCATTAAAGAGGCAAATCATTATGTGATACAAGGGAATTTCCCAATTTTACTGCTTTGAGGAATGCCTCAAATTCAGAAATATTGCCTAGAGGTCAGTTTAGGAGGTAAGTAGAGGGAAGAACTAGTCTCAGGGACTATGGTGGAGGTTGCATAGAACCTGGACTGGCCAGGGTCTGGTGGAATGATTATGGTATTTATGGGAACATCAGGTTTATTCAGTACTGAGCATTGATTTTGATATTTTACCTTTAATTGCTGTGGGACAGAGTAGTGGCATTTTATCTTTCACAAGAACCTTCCTCACTATAAATTTTAAGCTGTATACCCTCCGCTGATTTGGGGAGTGGGATAGAAGTGGTCATTAAGCCTTTATCAAAAGTATTTATCACCCTCAATTGACTACCTTACACGTTAAAAGAGCATCAGCTTTTTCCTCCATATATATATCTGTCTTCCTAATATTTAAGTATTTTTTTTAAGTATAGAAAATAAATAGCCCAGCCAGTGTGGCTCACTTGGTTTGAGAGTCGTCCCATGCATCAAGAGGTTGCATTTGATTCCCAGTCAGGGCACATGTCAGTGTTTCAGGCTCGACCCCCAGTAGAAGGTGTACAGGAGGCAGCCAATGGCTATTTCCATCTCTCTCTCCCTTTCCCTTTCTCGTTCTTTAAATAAATAAATAAAAAAAATAAAAACACATTAAAAAAAACTATAGAAAATAAGTGCCAAGAATATTACAATGAAAATTTCCATACAAATATGAAGGTATATAATGGGGGTGAAGGCCTGGTGAGGGTGAGGTCTAGGGCTGGGTGGAGGAGGGCAAACGGGAGGAAAATGGGGACATCTATAACAGTGTCAGCAATAAAAATTTTAAAAAGCAAATATCAAGGTATCTACAATTAAAGATTCATATTTTGTCATTCCTTAATTTCTGTTTTATTCATAAGCAATAAGTACTGTAGCTTTTAAATAAATCTTCACCCCAGGCTATGTTTTATTGATTTGAGAGAGAAAGAGAAACATCTATGTGAGAGAGAAAAATATTGATTCTGTGCCCCGAATGGGGATTGAACCCACAATCTAGGTATGTGACCTGACTAGAATCCAACTCATAACCTTTTTGGTGCATGAGATGGCACTCCGGAGTCACCCGGGACTTTTAAGGATGGCGGAGTTCTCCAGTAAACTGGTTATTCTGGTTATGAACATAAACAAATCAAAGGGTTCCATGCTTTGTTTAATTAGGAAGGCTCATTCTTTTAGTACTGTAACAGCATAGAAATAGAGTTGTTTACTTTTGATTGATTAGTTCAAATTCCTGAGCTCATTTTGAAGTGCTTGGTTGTAAAGATGACAAGAACTTGGCAGAATTGATTATGAAAGGCAGAAATAAGTAGACTATGGTCTACTGAGACCATATTTTCCTCTTTATTGTCCTATTTTACATTTGAGGTTTGGCATGTTTTAGATTTCCTTTTTTCCTATATTTATTCTATAGGAAAGTGCCTACTGGTATCTTCAGAGCTTAAACATATGTATCATCCAGCCATCAGGGTAAAAGTCAGAACCCTGAGAGAAAGCTGGGTTGGGATAGGAATGGGTCTATTACTGACTTGGTTAGTTGTACCAGACTTTATAAGAAAATTATTCTAGAGTTATATTGAATGTTCTTTGCCAGAACAGTATTTCTTTGTGTTTTTTTTTAAATTTTTACTTACTGTGAAAATGTTAGACAATATCATAATAATTATAATTCATAATATAAGTGATATTGTCTGAAGCTAAGCAGTTAAACTCATATTGATCTATGTTTTATTCCATGCTCTTGATCATTTTACTTATTCTAGGATTTCTAGTTTAGTTATGAAAGTGATTTGGTATCTATATAAGATTGAATAGCATATCTTAATAGATAGTTTATGGCAATGTAAAATTATATAAAAGCAGCAGTGTTCACTGTGGACAGGAGTTAAGAACTAATTTTGGACTTCAGGTGTCTAATGGCGCCTCACTTTCAAAAAGGCATATTTTCCTGGGTGAAGAGTGTAGAAAGATAAAGTATTTATTATGTTAGCCATCAGTCATCCAATATGAATTTAAAAGAAGAAAGTCAGACTGAAGGGAAATTGAAGGTAAGCCTTAGTGGAGTGATTCTGCAATATCTGAAAACAATGAGAGTAGTGTGCTGTGGACACCTGGGACTATATTCCATAGGTCCTTCAGCAGTACATTTTATTATACGTGATAGACTTGATTAGCATTCAACTTTTTGGCTAATGTAAGATAGACTTAAGAGTAGTGAATAGGAACAACAAGCTTGGAACATAATTTTTTTGTTTCATATTATAGGGATTTGAGGGAAACATATTATGTAGCATGTACTGATTTATTAATCTATAGTTAGCATGCAAGTTTGCAGGAAACTCCAAATTAGTGTAGGAAATAAGACAGAAGTTTTTGTTTTTGCTTTTATATTTAATCTCTTAGAGACAATCTAGGGCTACAGTGGCAGCTCAAAAGTCATTAAAGGCCCTGGCTCTTTTTAACTTACTGTTCAATTCTCAAGTTATTTCTGTCTCTTTTTTTAGAGAGAGGGGAAGGAAGAAAAAGAGAGAGAGAGAGAGAGAGAGAGAGAGAGAGAGAGAGAGAGAGAGAGAGAGAGAGAGAGAGACCCCACATTAATGTGAGAAACACCAATTGATTACCTTCTGCATGCAACCCAACTGGGGTTTAAACCTGACTGGGAATCAGACCACCACACTTTGGTGTACAGGACAACATTCCACACTGGCCAGGACAACTTGCATATGAAATGGCAACTCCAGCTCTTATATTCCAGCTAAGATGAAATAATGAGAATCATATTTTTTGGTGTTTTTTTTCCCCCTCTTTCAGTAATCTCTCAATTCATTCTTCCTTTCTCTCTTCTCCCTTCTTTCTACTTTCTTCTTTCTTCTTCTTTCTTTTCTCTCTGTCTGCCCCCTCCCTCTTAGCTAATATGTTTATGTTTGGGTAGGTGACTGAGGATTTTTGTGGTAGCTAGTAATAATCACTTTATTGATAAAATTTTTTTTGTTCCTTTTCTTTCTCTTTTGTGTAGTATCAGAGATGCAGAATCTGGGACAAGTTGCACGAAGAGCATATCAATGCAGGACGTACAGTTCAGGTAAGGCTGTGTTTCTAATAAATCAGTGTGTAGAAGACCGACTTAAGAAAATTTTGTAAAATGAATACCCTTGTAGCTGAATCCTTTTATGCATATTGAGAATTATTTCCTTATTTATTTCTATGAGGAATTACTGAATGAAATGTTATAAACATATTTAGGATTTTGGTTCATCTTATCAAAATTTCCTCCAGAAATGATTTATCAACTTATATTCCCACAATCGTGGTATTTTTAAAAAATCTTGCCAACATTAATATTTCCCATTTCTCAAATTTTTGCTAATTAGTAATTAAAATAATGTTGCATTTTTTTGTTTTAATCTGGAAATTTTTCTTTGATTGCTTTGAAATGTGAAAGGTTTTTTCATATACTTCTTGGGTGGTAATATTTCTTTTGTAAATTGACTGTACATGTCCCTTGCATATATTATGTTGTCTTTTGTGAGAGTTTCTTCTAATTTGAAAATACTGATCTCTTTGTAATGTTGTTGAATTAATATAGTGTTATGATTATTCTTTGCTAGTTAATGGCATTTTAATAAATAAATTTTAATTATTTTAAATTAATTTTTTAAAATAATGTTTACACAGTTAAAAGCCAAATAAAATTAAAAGTCTGATAAAACCCTTCCCTTACCCATCCCCAAGTCCTACTTAGAAGAAACCACTTTTAATCCTTTGGGTCATTTTCTCTGTTTTTTAAAACTCTATTCCTAAATACAATGTGTAAACTGGTATTTCTTAATTAGGTTTAGTTATGATCTCTTCATTTCTTGCCATAAAAGGTGGAGAGCTAACTTTCCACCTTGCTCTTTACTTTCCTCTCCCTTACATAATTATATATAACTTTTGGTTAAATTAGTTACTAGTATCTCATTATTTGATTATAAAGATACTAGAGGCCCGGTACATGAAATTTGTGCACTGGGGGTGGGGAGGTGTCCCTCCGCCCACCTTCCCTTGGTGGGTTGGGGCACACAGGACACTGACCAGAGGCCCACCCGCCTGCCTTCCCTCCATGGGCTGGGGTGGGCAGGACATATGGCTCGTCGCTGGGATGACGCTGCCCCAGCATCCTGTGCACCCAGCCAGCCTCTGGCTAGAAGCCTGCCCTCTCTCCGCTGGCTGGGGCGCTATGGGCACCATCTTTTTGAAAGAGTGATGGTTAATTTGCATATTACCCTTTATTATATGGAATAGTTTCTTGCTAAGCCAAATTAATGAAATATAGTACATCATAGTGTTTTTTAAGTTAATAATTGCCTCATTTTTTAAATTTCCTGGCTTTTCATATATTGTGTTTTTTTCCTAAATGCTGCACATCTCTGCCACATGCTGTCAATGTTTTTCATATGCTCAAATATATGACTTCTTTATTCTGAAGACTCTTTTCTGAAGTCCTTCCCCCAGTTTCAATCTTGACTTACTTTCTAGGCTTGTTTGAACTTCCTGAGCTGCTCCTCTGTGTTGGGTCCTTGTTTTCCTGGATATCATATCTTTCTCATTTTTTTGTTTATTCCACTGTTTTGTTGGAGTACATCTTCCAGTAGCTCTGCAAATAGGGAATCTTGGTGGTAAAATTTTAAGTTATTATGTGACTGAAAAATACCTTTATTCTTCCTTCATGTGTAATTGCTAATTTCAATAGATAGAGAATTCTAGTTGGAACTCTTTTTTCAATAATGAAGGCATTCCAAGCTTTCTAGTTTAGTGCTTTTAAAAATGTGTATATCAAATACAAACCTGTAGTAGTCAAAATAGTAAGATACTGGCATAAAAACAGATAGATCGATCAATGGAACAGAATAGAGAACCCAGAAATAAATCCATACCTATATGGTCAATTAATATTTGACAAAGGAGGCAAGAACATAGTTGTTGGGAAAAATTGAACATGCAAAAAAAATTAAACTAGACAACCTTCTTAAACCATATAAAAAAAGAAACTCAAAATAGATTAAAGGCATAAATATAAGATTCAAAAGTATTAGAAGCAAACATAGGCAGTAAAACCTCTGACATTTCTCATAGCAATATTTTTTTCTGATATATCTCCTAGGGCAAAGGAAACAAAATAAAAAATAAAAAAATGGGACCACATCAAATTAAAAAGTGTTTGCACAGCAAAGGAAACCATCATCAACAACAAAAAAGGCAACCTGCTGAATGGAAGAAGATATTTGCTAATGATACATCTGATAAGGGATTAATATCCAAATTTTATAAAGAACTGATACAACTCAACAACCAAAAAACAAATAGTCCAATTAAAAAATGGGCAGAGGACCTGGATTGACACTTCTACAAAGAGTATATATTGATGGCCAATAGACATATGAAAAGATGCTCAATATCACTAATCATTAGAGAAATGCAAATTAAAACCACAATGACATATAACCTCTGACATGTAACTCTATCAGAATGGCCATCATCAATAAATCAATAAGTGTTGGCAAGGATGTGGAGAAGATGGAACGCCTATGCACTGTTGGTGGGAATGCAGATTGGTGCATCGACTATGAAAAACAATATAGAGGATCCTCAAAAAATTAAAAATGGATCTGCCTTATGACCCACAACATTGATTTGAAAGAATATATGCACCCCTATATTCATTATAACATTATTTACAATAGCCAAGATATGGAAGCAATAAAGGTGCTCATCAATAGACAAATGGATAAAAAAGAAGTGGTGCATATATACACCATTTTATTATTCAGCCATAAAAAATAACAAAATCTTACCATTTGTGACAGTATGGATGGACCCAGAGGGTATTATGCTAAGAGAAATAAATCAGTCAGAAGAAGACAAATACCATATGATTTCACTTAATGTAGAATATAAAAAACAAAATAAATGAACAAACACAATTGAAACAGACTTACAGAGGGAAATTGGGGTGGGAGGAGTTAGAAGAGGGTAAAGGGGGATAAATGGTAATGAAAGGAGACTTGACTTGGGTTGGTGAACACAATACAATATACAAATGATGTGTTATAGAATTATACATCTGAAACAATTGTATTAACTAATGTCACCCCGTAAATCCAATTTTTTTTTTTTTTTTTTAAAAAGGAAACAGACATACATACAGAGAGCAGACTGATGGTTGCCAAAAGAAAGGGGGTTGGGGAAATGGGTGGAAAAGGTGAAGAAATTAAGAAGTACAAATTGGTAGTTTCATAATATTTGCCAATATGACATCCAATAAGGGTGTGTGTAATCTTTTAATATACTGTTAAATTCAGTTTGCTAATATTTTAAATGGAATTTTAGCAAATGTAAGTTTATGTATGCATATGTGAACAGTGTGTATCTATACTACTTTTACTAGGTTTAAACTCACTTTAATAGGTTTAAGGTGTGCTAACTTCATAAAATGGGGAGCTTTCCATCTTTCCAATGGTCTATACATTGAAAACCATAAAAATCAACTATTCTTTGACAATTAAATAGAATTAAATTTTAAGAATGATCTCAGTACGAAGATTTTAAAAATTATAGATCTTGTCCTAGCCAGTTTGGTTCAGTGGCTAGAGTGTTGGCCTGTGCACAGAAGGGTCCCAGGTTTTTGTGTTTGTTTTTTTTCTGTTTTTTTAAAAAATATATTTTATTGATTTTGTACAGAGAGAAAGGGAGAGAGATAGCTGATAGAGAGCTAGAAACATCAATGAGAGAGAGTCATTGATCAGCTGCCTCTTGCACACCCCCTACTAGGGATATGCCCGCAACCAAGGTACATGCCCTTGACCAGAATTGAACCGGGTCCCTTCAGTCCCCAAGCTGACGCTCTATCCATGAGCTAAACTGGTTTCGGCCAGGCTTGATTCTGGTCAAGGGTACATGCCTAGGTTGCAGGCTCAGTCCAACGTGCAGGAGGCAGCCAATCAATGATTCCCTCTCGTCATTGATGTTTCTACCTCTCTCTTCCTCTCCCTTCTCTGAAATCAATAAAAATATATATTTAAAAATAAAAAGTATAGATCTCTATTCATACAATATTTAAATTCTTTTCCCCTAATGTATTTTTAAAAATACTAATGCAAATTCTATGTAATAGACAGGAAAAAAGTATTAATTTTTTTAATTTTTCAAGTGCATACTCTGAATGAGGTGTTATATTCCATATTATTACATTCCACATTATTACATATAGAAAAATTTTAAAAAGTAGTTCAAAATTTACTTCATGATATAGAAGCAAAGTTGGGATTAAAATCCAAGTATTCTTTTTTTTTTTTAATATATTTTATTGATTTCTTACAGAGAGGAAGGGAGAAAGATAGAGAGCTAGAAACGTCGATGAGAGAGAAACATCGACCAGCTGCCTCTTGCTCACCCCCTGCTGGGGATGTGCTTGCAACCAACTTACATGCCCTTGACCGGAATCGAACCTGGGACCTTTCAATCCGCAGACCAACGCTCTACCACTGAGCCATACCGGTTTCAGAAAAATCCAAGTATTTTTACAAATCCAGCAGTCTTTACATCCTATATAATAAAGAGCTAATATGCAAATTGACCATCACTCCAACACAAGATGGCCGCCCCCATATGGTCAAAGATGTCTGTCACAAAATGGCTGGCAGGGAAGGGCAGTTGTGGGTGATCAAGTCAGCAGGGAAGGGCAGTTGTGAGGGACCAGACCTGCAGGAGAGGGCAGTTAGGGGGACCAAGCCTGCAGGGGAGGGCAGTTAGTGGTGACCAGGCCTGTAGGGGAGGGCAGTTGGAGGTGACCAGGCCTGTAGGGGAGGGCAGTTAGGGGTGAGCAGGCTGGTAGGGGATTGTAGTCTGGAGCAATTGAGCCAGCAAGGGAGCAGTTAGGTGTGGATCAGGCTGGCAGAGGAAGGGTTTGGGGATGATCAGGCTGGTAGGCAGAAGCAGTTAGAGGCAATCAGGCAGGCAGGCAGGTGAGCAGTTGGAAGCCAGCAGTCCTGGATTGTGAGAGGGATGTCTGACTGCCTGTTTAGGCCCCATCCCACTGAGGGATCCCAAATTGGAGAAGGTGCAGGCTGGGCTGAGGGACACACACATCTGTGCATGAATTTCATGCACTGGGCCTCTAGTTAAACTATAAACATAGTCCATATCTATATGGTACCTTAATACAATATAAAGTATCCATTTTATCCTAGTAAAATTAAAGCTAATTCTGGAAATAATAGTTTAGCTACAACCTAAAACATCTTATAAGATTGGGTGAATAAAAAATTTGTGCCTCTATCTACCATGACTCTACTTCCTTTAACCTTATGTATACTCTTACTATTCCAACATGAGCGAGAAAACCTAAAGATAATTGGACTGTAGATTAATACAATCATTAATATGTAAAAATCATAGAACCTTAAGAAACCCATGTGCTCATTCAATCCAACTCCATGATTTTACAATAAGTAAATTGGCATCCAGATGAACACAGTGGCAAAATTAGGACTAGAGCTCAGTTCTCAAATCTTGAAACAGTATTGTCTTCAACACACTACCATCTTTTGGCTGTGTGGTTCCTTTCTGGAAGTATATATCAGTTTGATACAATAAACATGGTAAATTAGTGAATACTTTATTATTTTCTACAGTGACAAATCAGTGGTCCAACAATAGAGATCTCCAACTGTCAAAGAATTAGCTAGAATTCTTCCCTAGGAAACCATAATATAAGTCCCTGGCATGTGAAACATTGCATCTTACATTAGTTTTTTAAAAAGTAATGAGCCTGGCCAGTGTTCCTCAGTGGTTAGAGCATGAGTCCATGCCCTGGAGGGTCATGGATTTGATTCCAGGTCCAGGGCATGTTCCTGTTGTTCCTCTGTTAAAAGTTTGTTCCCTGGCCTGGTCAGGGTACAGCAGGAAGCTACCAATTAATGCCAACGTTTCTCTCTCTACCTTCCCTTTCTTAAAATATTTTTTTTTCATTGATTTTTTACAGAGAGGAAGGGAGAGAGATAGAGAGCTAGAAACGTCAATGAGAGAGAAACACCGACCAGCTGCCTCTTGCACACCCCCTACCGGGGATGTGCCCGCAACCAACATACATGCCCCTGACCGGAATCGAACCTAGGACCTTTCAGTCCACAGACCGACGCTCTACCACTGAGCCAAACCGGCTTCGGCTCTCCTTTCCCTTTCTATCACCCTCCTTCTTTCCCTCCCTTCCACTTTCTCTAAAAATTAATGGAAAAAATATCCTCGGTGAGGATTAACAACAACAAAAAGTAATAAAAGAATTAACTCTTTTGGAATTAGTTCTGACATACAACCATAAAATAGTGAAGTGTGAAGGAAACCCATAAGAGAAAACAATCATGCTAGCTTGGAATTCATAATAGTTATAAAAATAAATACTAGAAAAAGTGATACTGTAGGGAAGTGAGTCAAATTGAAAAAAAAAATAGTTGTATGATAATATAGCAGAATTTATATTGTGATAGGATCTTTTCTAAGAGAGTTTCTAAAAAGTGAACTTCTGACACTACTAAAAAAGATAATCTGATAAGTGGCATTTTAAGAATCCAATGTAGTTGTGTAAGGCATGCTTTGATAAGTTCATGCTATGATAAGTTCTGTAAGTTCATGGCTGATTTTTTTGTATTTATGCAAACTTGGAATCTGTATAGCAATACCTTTCTAAATGTGGTCTGAAATCTACTGAATCAGATAATTTTCAAAGGTGAACAGAAATCTGTGTTCTCAACAAATTCTGCATCACCATTTCTATGGGAGACTAGCCTAATTAAGTTTCTGTAAAAGCCAGGTCAGTGAATTATTACAGTAGTAACAAATTTTGAACTTTTTACTTAGTTTCAAAAGGAATATATAAGAATATACATACCGTAGCTTAAAAAATAATAACCAAGCCCAGTCAGTGTTGCTCAGTGGTTGAGCATTAACCCATCCACTAAAAGGTTGCTGGTTTGATTCCCGGTCAGGGCACATGCCCCAGTGGGGATTGTGCAGGAGGCAGCCAATCAATGTTTCTCTCTCTCCCAAATCAATAAAAAACATATTAAATAATAATAACTGAACCACCAAATGAATAAAAAATCAAAGGAGAAAAAAAGCTTTCACTCATTTCCTCAACAAATATCTAAAGAGGACCTACTTATATAGGTATTAAGTGTACTTTCTATCCACCTGAGTTACTATTAAAAATAATTCCAGATGAGTAGATTAAAAAACTGGTACATCTACACAATGGAATACTGTGCTTCAGTAAAAAAGAAGGAATTCTTACCATTTGCAACAGCATGGATGGAACTGGTGAGCATTATGCTAAGCAAAATAAGCCAGTCAGAGCAAGATAAATACCACATGATCTCACTCATTTATGGAATATAATGAACAACATAAACTGATGAACAAAAACAGATCCAGAGACATAGAAGCATTGAACAGATGGTCAAACCTCAGCGGGTAGAAAGGGGAGGGTGGAATGGGAGTTAAGAGATCAACCCAACCAAAGGACTTGTATGCATGCATAACCAGTGGACAGTAGGAGGGGAGGGCATCTGCTGGGGGGTGGGAGGGAGGTGGCAGTGGTTGAGGGGTGGCATTAGTCAGGGAGAAATCAGTGGGAGAAAAAAGGAGGCATGTAATACTTTCAACAATAAAGAATTAAAATTTTTTTAAAAAAAGATTACATACACATGTACATACCAGGCAGGACTTTATTTCAGAAATATAAAGATGGGTCTGTTTATGACTCTTGCTCATGATTCATTATATTAGCACATTAGAGGAAAATTTATGATTATGCCAATAGATGGTTTTTAAAAGAAAGGAGAATCATTTGGACAAAATTCAGCAATTTCAGAAATGTAAAGTAAAAAATAATGAGATAATATGTAGTACTGGGGAAATGGGTACTCATATTTTAGTAGTAGTATGAATTGTTATAGCTGTTCAGGAAAAAAGCTGATGATAATAGCTATTGAAACAAAAATGTACATTATCCCTTGACTGTGTACTTTCACTTTGGGGAATCATTTTTATAAAATATAGTATATAGTATTTACCATCATACTAATGTATTAGGCTTTATTTTCAAGAATATTTGTTTCATAATTAGTAATAATTTAAATTGGAAGCATGAATGACTGTTGACCACTGAAGGAGTATTTGAATAAATTACATTCCATTTATACAATGGAATGTGGTACAACCATTGGCTAGGAAGGATATCTGTGATGATATTAAGTTGGGATGTGGAATGACAAATTATAGATTACTAGAAGCCCACTGCATGATATTCATGCAAGAATAGGTCTTTCTTCCCCTGACTTTGCTTCTGGCCACCTGGGAGCCTGCAAGTCCTTGCTCCTGGCTGGAGCACTGCTCCTGTAGCTCCCTCCACCACCCTCCTGCCCCTCATAGCAGGCGTCCTGCCCCTCCTGGCTGCTCTGTGACTTCAAATGCAAATTAACCTGCCATCTTTGTTGGGTTAATTTGCATAGTCACTCCTGATTGGCTGTGGGCATAGCGGAGGTATGGTCAATTTTACATGTTTGTCTATTATTATGTAAGATTGTGCATAATAAATAAAATTCATTTCTTGTAAAAAATGATTCTGTCTATCAGTGTTTGGATGAATGAAGAGAAATATGGATTAAGAGAGGTAGTGGAATTAGTGAAGCGGAGAAATCACCAAGTTTTTCTTGATACGTTTCTGCAGTGTTTGATATATTATGAAGAGCATTTGTTCCCTTGTAATAATCATATTTAATAAAGGAAAAACACTAAATAAATTCAAAGTATGAGGATGTTTCAAAAGAAGTTGGTTTTGTACAAAGACATGAAGCATAGCAATGTTATGCATACTTTCTATTGCAATCATTTTCATTCATAATCATTATCACAAATTATCTCTGAAAATAAAGACATTTTATACTAAGATATATGGTGGCTTTAATGATACTTTTTTCTTTTATAGCAACTTCGCTCCAATATCCGAGAAATGGAGAAGCTTTGTTTGAAAGTACGGAAAGATGACCTAATACTTCTAAGGAGAATGATAGATCCTGTTAAAGAAGCAGCAGCAGCAGCGGCAGCAGAATTTCTCCAGCTCCGTCAGGAATCTGTAGAAGAACTTGAGAAACAATTTAATGATGAAGAAACTTTACTACAGCCTTCTTTGACCAGATCTATGACTGTTGGTGGTAATGTACTAGTCTTATTCTTGATCATAATGATGCAGTTAATTCACCTCTTTGTATAGATATTGCAGATAATACCAGGTATACCGGTTAATAATTCGGATTTTTTTCAATAGATGGAATTACACATATATTGATATATATGTGATTTGTTATGTATGCTATTTTGTTGTATTGACAACAAACTTTCTCCAAACTGACTAGTATTAAAAAAAAATTGGCAAAATTTGAAAAGCATGTATACAGAGGAAATTAAAAAAATTAAGGCAGGCCAGAGGATGAGGGGAAAGAAATAACAGATAAAGTTTATTTTCCAACTCTCTTATAAGTACCACGTGTTAACCGATTGCGCCACTGGAGCTCCTGCAAAACTCTCTTGATCCTCAAACTTCTCAATTCATGGAATACCATATTGGCCTAAGATCTCTAATCACTTGAACACTTGGAGAAACTACAAAATTACATCTCTGCAACCAATTTGAATTTGATTAAGACAGTCATTCCCTTTATAAAATCAAATACCTAAGTTAGACCTAAAACAGTATTAGAATTTCAAATTCTGAATGGTTTGGGTCATATTGCACCATTGCCAACATTAAGCAGTTCAAATAACTGTCTCACCAAGTGCCTGAGTTTTTCATCAAATATGAGAGTTTCTTCTAAGTTGCCTCAACTCTAGAAATATTATTTAAAAAATTGAGAGGATGGGAGGACAAGATTATGAAAAGAAAGTATTAATTTACGTAAAGCTTTAGTAGTGGGATTGGATTTGTTCCACTCCATGTCTAGTCTTCTTTTAGCTATAGAATTTTTTCTGCCATTCTGCATGTTTTTATCCAGTGTTCTCTGGCTTTTTCTTATTTTTGCTTTAGATACTCAATATAGTAGTGACAGTCTATACAGGAAAAAAAAAAAGTTTGATTTGCATAAAGTGAAGGGCCTTAAAATACTTTTTCCTTTAAAAATTCAATCTGATTCTAAGTAAATTGGTTGGAAACATCAGCAGAGATATTTGGAGTAATGTTGCCACATTTCTGTGAGTGAGATCAGAATACAAAAATAGTTTTTCATTTACAGATAGAAATAACAAGTAGAAAAGGGCGTTTTATGTTCTCTGGAGAATGAAAGAAATCTGGGATGATTTTTCTGTTTCTTTTGTCCAGCTTCTGAGAGTTTTTAAAGTAAATCTTCTCTGCCAGTCTTGCTAGATCTGAGAAACTCCCTTCTGTCTCACTGTGTATCTAGTTTCATTTTTAGCACATTGCTTCCCACCAACAGATTTGAATTGTATTTAGAAAGGTGTTCCAAGTCATACAGAGTGGATCATTGCTTCTCTCCATCTTGTCTTTCTTTTTCCCCATCCAGCACACAACTTCACCAGCGCAATAGGAACAGAATCGTATTACATTTTAAACAAATATTCACAAAAGAAAATAATCCAACCTTAAAACTTATGTTAACTTCAGACAAGCATATTGAATTTGATGAAATTTTATGTATATGTATATGTATATATATTCTTATATATATTTTTTTATAATAAAAATAAAAGAATATCATTAACCCTAGATAGAGTGTTAGCTAATACTGAAGGGTCCTGGGTTCCATTCTGGATGAGGGCATATACCTTGGTTGCAGGTTCAATCCCAGGGCACCTGTGGGAGGCAACCAATCTATGCGTCTCTCTCACATTGATGTTTCTGCCCTTCCTAAACAATTTAAATAGGTGTGTGTGTGTTTCTCGAGAGGTAAAGCTTTCCTGAATTATGAAAGTAAATTAGTAATGCTATTGTATAAAATACCATTGTCATAGGCTAGAATGGAAAAAGAAATTGAGAGAGAAGTTGGACTTAGTGTTATAATAATATACTTTTAGGATTAGATCAGGTGTCATATGTTACTATCATCTCCCTGCTTACAACCCTTCAGTATCTCTCCACTGTCTATCAGATAGTCCAAAGTCTTTAACTGGATTATAAGGCCCCTTAAAACCATCTATAATATCTTATTCTTGTAACTTTATGGCTTTTACTTTATGCTTTGGCAAGACTAAATTGCTGATTTTATGTTAAACTATATTCTTTCCTCTTTGAGGCCTTTTTCATGCTAGCTTCTCTACCTACATTTATATTATCTTCTTTGGTTAGTAAGATCATTTTTTTTAGGAAGCTGTCCCATACACTGTACACCACACTAGCTGGTTAACATGCCACCCCAGCCTGGAACACCCACACAGCCTATGTGTATTTGTATCTATTTACTTAGATATTCATGAACTCTCTTACTATTTTTAGGATTGTTTCTTTTATGTCTAACTTTTCTAGAATATACTTTCCTTGATAGCAACTACTTTGTATTACTTTTTTTATCCCTAGTACCCAACACAATACATGAGTGCTCAGAAAATATTAAAGTGGTAGGTATTGTTTTAAGCTTGAAGTATGGAGGATAAAAGGAAAGAAGACTTTCAGATATCTTCTTTACGTTTCCACTGCCACAATCCCAGATTAGATCATCATCATTTTACATCAGACATATTGAAAAGCCTTCCAACTTGTGTTTCACTCTCTAATTTTTTTTTACCTTTCAAGTCCGTCCTTAATCTATTATTTATACCACAGCTATGGTTCCCTTTCTAAATCTGAAATCTGATACGACACCTTGCATCTTACCAATAGTCTCCTGATCCTTTTAATAGTTTTATATTGATCTTATGAAGACAAAACTCTTGAACATAATTTACATTGCCACGAGTAATGTCACTCTTGATTTCCAACCTCAACCTTTGCTTTGCTTTTGTCATAGAGTATGCTTCAGCTATACTGAACTCCTTTCAATCCCCAAACCTATGCACATATTATTCTCCTTGACCTGAATACTCTGTTTCTGCCTTCACTCTTGCCCCAGTTCAATTATATAATTTCTGTTCATCCTCAGGCTTTAGCTCCAGAACTTTCTTGGACCATTCTCTTCTCCACAGATCTAGTTAACTAACTCTGTGCTCATATAGCATTCAATACTTACCCATATCACAGTTCTTATGAGACTATACTGAGTTTGCCTATTAACATATCTTTATCACATATATGATAAGCTCCATTAATAATAGTAGCAGCAGCAATGGCAGTAGTAGTAACCACTTATACTTGATATGTAAGCCAGGCACCATGCAAAGTATCATCTTATTTTATAAACTAGGAAAATAAGTTTAAAAGATGAAATACCTTCCCAAGTGAAAGAGCTAGTGAATAGCCAAACAAGGATACTTACCCAGGTCTTTCTGATGAGGCCCATACCCTTAACCACCATACTATATTGACTCCTTGGAACTATTTTATGGTTTGCCATTGTGTACCCAGCATCTTATCACGCTGATTGGTAATATAGTAGGCACTGTATAAATATATGATTAATGAATGAACAATTGGTAAAACTAATACAGGGAAATAAAGATTTGAAGATGGAGTTTGGAATGTAAATTAATTCATCATCATAACAGTGTTTAATGAGGAAAACCATAGTGTGTTGATGACTTCTTAAAACTCAGAAAAGAATTAGAAGCAATGGAGGGATGGGTCAGAAAATGACTAAAGAGAAATAGGGTATTAATATATACAAAAATATACATTTAGTAATAGGTGTTAGTTTTTATGACAAATTTGTTACCAAAAATGACTGATTTTCATTGCTAAAAACACATAACTTCTCTACTTCTAACAGCTTAAGGATCTGATGTTGATTATTAAAATAACCAAAGAAAAAGGTTAATAATTTAGCAATGAGCCGAAACCGGTTTGGCTCAGTGATAGAGCGTCGGTCTGCAGACTGAAAGGTCCCGGGTTCGATTCCGGTCAAGAGCATGTACCTTGGTTGCGGGCACATCCCCGGTAGGGGGTGTGCAAGAGACAGCTGGTCGATGTTACTCTCTCATCGACGTTTCTAGCTATCTCTCTTCCTTCCTCTCATAAAAAAAAAAATAAATAAATAAATAAAAATAATTTAGCAATGAAAATGTTAAACCTGGATATCTTTTCATGGAACATTGGCCAAATAGAATAGTTTTCCTTTGGAGGTGCTTTCACATCTAGCCCTCGTTATTCAGAGTGGTAGATAGTAGTTATAGCCTTTTTTTTTTTTTAAGATGACTTTGTAGAATAAAGAAAAAAATATTTGTTAACCTGGGAACAATCTTCCTATAGATAAATCTGTTTTTATAGAATAATCAATTTGCTTTCAGCATGAATTTAATTATTAAGCATTTTACATGACAATTGTTTATGGAGTCGATTAATGCTGTTGCCTTTTTAGCAAAGCAGATAAACACTAAACATGCGGCTATGTTTATCCAGGAGCATTTCACACTACTGAAGCTGAAGCTGATCCTCAGAGTATGACTCAGATATATGCATTGCCTGAAATTCCTCGAGATCAAAATGCTGCAGAATCATGGGAAACCTTAGAAGCGGTATGTTAATTTTTTTACTTTATTATTTTTTTGTAACTGTGTGGCATAAAAGTAAATAATCTCCCCTCTCTCTTTCTTCTTTTAAGGACCTAATTGAACTTAGCCACCTGGTTACAGAATTCTCTCTCCTAGTGAATGTAAGTATATGACAGTTTTTGGTTCAGAGATGTTAGATTAATAGCTAAAAGGCTATTATCAGTCATTAGACCTTTGACTAGAATTTTAATAGAAGTTATAATTTTTAAGACTGCTATTATGTCATGGATAGAAGTCTAATTGTTGTCAAATTCCAGATAAGTTCAATAAACATTTATTAAGCACTTTTATGGAGCCATAGAAGGTACTGTATTAGATCCTTGGCATTATGGGTCTGATAAGGTTGGCTATAGAAATAAATGAATCTTGTTCTCTGCCTTTAAGGATTTACAAGTGGATAGAGATATGCTTGGATCTCCAAACTTGAAATTTCAAGCATGATTGTTAAATGCAAAAATATATGACAAGAAGTAATATAAGCTCCAAGAAGCAACATTTGAGGGAGGAAGGGGTTGTGAGGTGGAAGCATTAAGGATAGCTTCACAAGATTGGTAGCCTTTGCTTGAGCCTTGAAAATAGAGGAAAGTGTCCACAGGTGGAGTGAGAGGTACATTTGAAAATAGCTGAACAAAGACATGGAGTACAGTATAATTTAGGAGTGACAAGTATTGCAGTATAATCTAAGCATAAGGTACCATGGGCAAGCAAAGCAAGAATGGTTAGGGTGAGATTCAGATGGCATTGAAGGCCATACCAAATAATTTGAACTTTACTATGTAGGAGCCAGTATAGATTTTTGAACAGGTAGAGTGCTGTGATCCATCCCGTCTGTGCTTCAGAAAGATCACAGTGTGAGGAATGGCCTTGGAGAGGGGATATAAGCAGGATGACTGGTTAGAAAACAATTGCAAGAGTTTCACCAAGAGCAATGGAAAAGCAAGTATAGTACTCCTCCATGCCCTCTTATCTGTGGTTTTGCTTTCTACAATTTTGCTTTCCATGGTTTTAGTTACTGTGGTCTACCGTGGTCTGAAAATGTTAAATGGAAAATTCCAGAAATAATAAGTTTTAAATTGTACATCGTTCTGGGTAGCATGATGCAATCTGGCACTGTTCTATGCTGTCTTAGCTCAAGACATGAAACATCCCTTTGTCCATAGTATCCATGTTGTATATGCTCCCTGCCCTTAGTCACTTAATAGTATCTCGGCTTATCAGCTAGAATGTCATGGTATGACAATGCCTGTGTTCCAGTAACCCTTGTTTTACTTAATAATGACCCCCAAGTGCAAGAGTAGTGATGCTGGCAATTTGTATATACCAAAGCAAAGCTGTGAAGTATGTGTGTGTATGTAGGAAAAAAACACAGTATATATAGGTTTCAATACTATCTGTAGTTTCAGGCATCTACTGTAGGTCTTGCAACATATTTCCCATGGATAAAGGACAACTGGGTTAGAAATTAGAGGAAGATGGAAAAGTCAAAGATAAGAAACATTAAGGCTTTATTCTGCCTAATCAGGTAGCCAGTGAAACTGTTAACATAGATTAGAGAACATAAAGTAAATTTAGTGGAGAAAATAGAATAGATTTGGTTATTATTTTTCTAAATTCCTTTTTCTTCCCAGGAATTGTGTGTGGGAAAGCTGGATGTATGAGTTATGTGTGTGTATGTATGGATGTACCTGCAGGAGCAACCCTGCTTCTGCTGATGCTTCTGGCTAGGTTTAGTTCTTCTTTCTTGATCAAACTATGATTTGGGTTGTACATTTTTGAGTTATGATTTCCTTGACACCTGGCTTTAAATTATAAGAGGTTCCTAGATCAACCAATCTCAGAATTGGAATTGAAAAGGACTTAAAAGGTCAACTAATCTACTCTTGCCCCAACTTCTCAAATAAATGGTCTTTCGCCTCTTTTTGAACAATTACAATGCAGGGACACATCATACTTCAACCATCCCATTTGGAGGCTCTTAGAAGTTCTCATGTAAAGTAAACTCTGCCCTTTAATAACTGCCCTCTGGTACTTTTGCTCCCTGGAGCCATATGCTGAACAGGTTTTATCTCTTTTCCATATAAAAGTTTTTCAACCTTTTTGAGACCACCTTCTCTTTCCTCACACTATCCCACCTCACCACATTTTCTTCTCTTAAAAACCCTTGATTCTCTAATGTATTACTACAATATGATTTCTAGGCATATCAGTACTAGACCCTTTCTCTGCTTGTTTTCTAACGTGTGGATTTTTTTCTTGAAATATAATGCTTAAATTGAATATTGTTTAAAAAAATTTTTTTCTTTTTTTGGTTAATCCTCACCCAAGGATATTTTTTCAATTGATTTTTAGAGAGAATGGAAGGGAGGAATAGAGACAGAGACAAACACCAGTGTGAGATTCACACATCGATTGGTTGTCATTGGCAGATACCCCAATAGGGGCTGAGGGTCGAGCCCGCAACTGAGATATGTGCCCTTGAATTGAAACTACAACTCTTCAATTTGCAGGCAAATGATATAACCACTGAGCAATCAGCTTCAGCAAATATAGCAAAATCTTTAAAGCATTTTCCTTTTTTTGATATCTCTAAGTGCAGAAGAAGCAAAATAAAGTTTCTGGATTAGGTATCTGTACAAGTTATTAACATATTTATATATAAAAAAGAATGATACAAGAATCCCAAAATATTTATTGTTTTTAGAATCAATATTTATTTAATTATAATGCATAATCTCTGATCTAATGTACCTTGTAAGATCTGTATGTCAGGTTATACAGATATACATTTGTCAAAAGTCATTGGTATGTACACATGAGACGTATGAGGTTTAATGTACGTAGATTATACTTAAAATTTATTTAAAAAACAAACTAAACATCTTAAAAAGTTCTCATTCAAGACAAACACGTTTCCCTTCTAATGAGATCAACACATGAAAGGAAAAAGAAGGGTTTTAGGCCATTTAACTATTATATATATTAGTATTATTAGGTTATTAAGCAGTTCCTAATCCCTAATCTAAGGAAGGTTCGTGCAGGGAAAGTTAGACTATAGCCATAGTTCTACACAAATGTCCCATTTATAATAATCTGTGTAAGGACAGATTGTTATTAGGCTGTAGCTTAAAGGAGAAACCCTGATTACTATTCCCAGGGTGACTTGAGTTCTCATGACCACATGGTCAAGGACTCACAGAAGCTCCATTTAGTCAACAAATGACTTGGGAACATAATCAGAGTGACCACATCCTCTCATTATCATCACATGGACATGATAGTATCTAAGCAAGTTAACCATTTATTTATGGAGCACTTTCTGTGTGCATTGTACTGAGCTAAGAATAGAGAATAATATAAAATAGAACCTATAGAATAATCATGACAATTACTCAACATTGTGAATGTACTTAATTCCACTGAATTGTATATTTAAAAATGGTTAAATTATGCTGAAACCAGATTGGCTCAGTGGATAGAGAGTTGGCCTGCGGAATGGGAGGTCCCGGGTTTGATTCCCGTCAATGGCATGTACATTGGTTGCGGGCACATCCCTGGTAGGGGGCGTGCAGAATGCAGCTGGTCGATGATTCTTTCTCATCGACGTTTCTAACTCTCTAACTCTCTCCCTTCCTCTCTGTAAAAATTCAATAAAATATATATTTTTTAAATTAATTTCAGAGAGAGGAAGAGAGATGGAGAGAGAGAAATATCAGTGATGAGAATCATCCATTGGCTGCCTCTTGCATGCCCCCTACTGGGAATTGAGCCCCCAACCTAGGCATGTGTTCTGGCTGGGAACGAAGCATGATCTACTGGTTCATGGGTCGATGTTCAACCATTGAGCCACAGTGGTTGGCTCAGGCAGGTTCTACCATCTTGATGGAATTCTTTTGGGTCTGAGAAAAAGGGAACATGCTGACTATTTTCAACTCATCAAGATATGGAGGTAGATGATAGAACTTTACATCTGTGATTTATATTCTAGCATAGACTTTCAAGCAAGAATGGAAAATGTGGGGTTGTCCTAAAGAGAAACAAGGGTAGGGTGTCTGAACTGGCATTTATGCTTCTATGGGTTGTTGGGGGAGGGGAGCTAACATTAAAGAAGTTTTATTGTCTGAGCAGAGGTTCGGTAACCACTTGTCAGAAATGTTGTAATAGGGTTTTACACATCGTAGGGAAAAAGCCCACTCAATAATCTAAGCATCCCTTCTACCCAGAGATTCCGTGAGTCACAATTTCTGTTGTGTCAGTGCAGGTGCTGTCCTTTTATGTAGGATGATTTATTAATATAGTTGATCAGAAACATTTTAGCTTGTCACGATTTTAAAATGTATTAGATTATACAGATATAAAACATAGGACAGTAAATTCATTCTCTGCTCCTTACTGCTTATCAGGTCAGAATTAGAAAGATTTCATGGCAGATCAAACCATACTGTATTCTTATTTCTAAAACATAATAATTTGTATTTATTGGGACAAGGGAGTTTTACTCCTATTTGCCTGTTTTTAAACTGAATTTTTAAAGAGATAAGCTAGGGAGGGTTTTTTTGTTTGATTTTGTTTTGTTTTTTTCCTGTCAAACTCATGTGCTTATTTGATTTTCTTTTCTCCTGGAAAATAGATTCATTTGGAGAATGTTTGTATGCTTGAATGATTTTAGTGTGAGATGCTTTTTCTTATAAAGGTGCCAGCCTTTCATTACCTAATAAGTAAGTCACCCTCTTTTTTTTTTCCACACAAGTGAATTTGTACTTTGGACATAGTTTATCAGATGCTATTAATGAACCACTATTAAGACTGCCAGGATGCAGTACACAGGGCCCTGATTACAGGAATTAAAATAGTGTGTATTGGCTCTCTGCTGCTCCCCAGCAGGAATGCTCACTCATAATTCCTTTGCATCTAGTCTCAGCAGGAGAAGATTGACAGCATTGAGGACCATGTCAACAGTGCTGCTGTGAATGTTGAAGAGGGAACCAGAAACTTGGGGAAGGTGAGATCCTGCTCCTGCTGACAAATCAATGTTACTCTGGCTCCCAGGAATTTGTAGTATTAACCCAATTGATCTACTCTCTTTAATCTTGAGGGAACCAGCAATTAAGGAAATAAGGAAGAAATGACACATAGGTAGTGCAAAAAATCAATGGCTGTAGTAATATTCTACTCTTTCATTCTGTTGGGAGAGAAATTTTTTTTCACAGAGAGAATAGGCCACACTATAAGGCATTTGGTGTTAGAAGGAAATAGTTAGAGGTTCAGGGGCATAGAAAGGCTTGCCAGAATCCAGTAGGGACAAAAATCTGAGTGTGTGACTGCATGTGTGGAATGGACCCATCTCTTTCCATAGAATTTTGCTTTTATCCCTAGGGCGTGCAACACAAAAACTTTGGGGTATCTGTGGCTGCTGAAACTGTTTAAATAAGCCAGTGAGGTAGTTAGTGGTTTGATTGTTTCGCAAGTAAATTCAATTTGTAGCAGTCCACTCTGTGTAGCCCGTTTCTCTAAATTCTGAGGTCTGGAGCAATTGTAGTACCTGTGGAATACTTTTTCTACCCCCTCCCTCTAATACAATCTCTAAGGTTAATTATGTACCAAGAGTTAAAGAGGCATTGGCAGGAGTAATGAGAGGAAAATGCACATCACCACAGGCAGATATTCTCAACTCAATTTCTAAATTGAATTTTTTTTTTTTTACAGGCTGCAAAATACAAGCTGGCAATGCTGCCTGTGGCAGGTGCACTCCTCGGAGGAGCGGTAGGGGGTCCGATTGGCCTCCTTGCAGGCTTCAAAGTGGCAGGAATTGCAGCTGCACTTGGTGGTGGGGTGTTGGGCTTCACAGGTGGAAAATTGATACAAAGAAGAAAACAGAAAATGACGGAGAAGCTCATTTCCAGCTGTCCAGATCTTCCCAGCCAAACTGACAAAAAATGCAGTTAAAAAACAAACTTCAGTATTATTGGCTCCAACGAATGGACCTTTGTTGCTGTTGGACACGCAGCTTTTGGAACATGATTATATCAAGACCAGAGGCTCGGTGCATAAAATTTGTGCACTTGGAGGGGAGGTCCCTCAGTCTGGCCTGTGCCCTCACCCAGTCCAGGAACCCTTGGGGGATGTCCAACTGATGACTTAGGCCTGGTCCCTGCCATCAGTCAGACATCCTTAGTGCTACCACAGGGGCGAAAGAGGCTCCCGTCACCACCACTGCACTCACCAGCCATGAGCCTGGCTCAAGGCTTCTGGCTGAGCAGCGCTCCCCCTGTGGGAGCACACTGACCAAAGGGGGCAGCTCCTGCGTTGAGTGTGTGCCGCCTGGTGGTCACTGTGCATCATAGCGACTGGTTGTTCCACAGTTTGGTCGATTAGCATATTAGCCTTTTTATTATATAGGACAGTGGCTGTAGATGCTCAAGTGGGATTGGACTGTGATAAGTGGATATATTCTTTTGTTTGCTGGGATGTTAATGGAATTGAGGGGCCTGGGCTGAGGGTGTATAATATTTGTCAGGTAATTTGAAGACTGCCAGGGAGCAGATTTTCTTCCTCGAAGTGTGAAAACTGAACCCATAACTTTGATAAGGACATGTGATGTGTGGACATGTTGGGTTCTGAAAGAATAGTTCCTTTCCTAACCCTGATTTGGAGATCCTAAGACTAAACATATTATAAATATGTTTTTTTATCTTCTAAATGTAGGAGATTTTTTAGGTCTGTTAGTAAAGAAAAGAATGGGAGTTCAGGAGCCTTTCTTATCAAATAGGAAATCCAGATCTGGCAAGGGCACAGGTGAAGTACTTATGGAGTCATTGGATGAAACGATTGCAGTTTCCTATAGGTCCATTATATTTTCTGATGAAGGAAACTAACAGTGAAAAGAAAGGCCCAACTTCTCTTTCAAACATCTTAATCTGTGCTCCTCCCTTTGTCTCTCTTTAAATAAAGACAAAAATCTCAAGTGGTAGGAGACAGTGCTATTAAGCCAGCTCTGAGCTGTCTGTCAGTTTGTCTCTTTGCAGTAGTGCCCTCCGCCTTCCTTCCCTTGTACTTTTCGAAAATTCTTAGACTTGTGGGGTGAATTTTATCCATGTATAATGAGGGCTTTTCTCATAATTTGCTTTTTTAAAATATGTTTTTAAAAAAAAGCAAATTATGAGAGACGAAGGGAGAAGGAGATATAGTAGCATCAATGAAGAAAGAGATTTATTGATTGTCTATTTCCTTCATGCTCCACACTGTGGATCAAGTCCATAACCCCCATTCCAATCCCCCAGCCCCCTACCCACTCATGTGCCCTGACCGGGAATAGAACCATGACCTCCTGGTTCATAGGTTGACGCTCAAGCACTGAGCCACACCAACCAGTCCTAATCTGCTTTTTAAAAATTGTCTCCCATTTTATTCATCCTTTCCTATAATCTCTAGATAAGAGAGGGAGGAAGGCAGGAAGGAAGAGATCTCTAAATATTTCCAACATGGTTAGAATTTGAGCTAAAAAATAAGCAGGCAGGGAATATGCCAGATCATTTCCTGGGGCATTTTCCAATCTCAAGTGGCTGATGTACCTGCCACAGAGGGAGTTTCTAACTCTGTGTCTTTTCAACCAGCCCTTGTGAACCTAAAAACTAGCTTTCTACCTCATATCTCTTGCTACCATCCTTTTCCCCAGGCTTTCCTCTCTCCTGTGCTTTCCTTCACTTTCACAGCTGCTATTTCTTCTCAAGAGTGGCATTCTGCTTGCCTTTTCTCATATTCATGTTGATGGACAAAGCCTGGTGCCAACAGTCAGTCCTGATGAATTTGTGGTGCTAATTCCAACACTTGACATTGACAGCTAGCTTGGCCCAGCTCAATCCAGTGTCTATATCAAAGAGCAAAAAGGTTTTAAATTTAGAAAGAAAGAATTTAAGGTTACAGGCAGCCTCATTCTGTTCTACCAACTCATTTGAAATAGGAAAGAACCACCTTTTGCCTTACTCTTTTCTTTTTCTCCCTCCCCTTAATATAAAACCCCCTTTTAAAAATTTCTTTATTGATTTAGGTATCACATATTTGTCCTCATCCCCCCATTCCAACCCCCTCCCCCTCCCAACTCATGCCCCAACCCCCCTATTGTCCTTGACCACTGGTTAGGCTCATATGTATGCACATAAGTCCTTTGGTTGATCTCTCCCTTTTATCCCCACCCTCCCTTTGAGGTCCACCAGTCTGACCCATGGCTCCTGATCTCTGTACTCTTTTTTTTTCCTGAGGACAGAAGAAAGGGTATCAACACCACAAAAGATCTGAGCTTTCTCTGCTCAGGAGCCAGTCATCAGCAGTGGAATGGTTTATCATTTCTCTCTTGCTGATCTTACTCTTAACAACTTTTATTGATTGCTACCTTTTATTTCTGTCTCTAAAGAGACTTTCTCTTTCATACTTTTGACTCTTCTCACCAATAAATTCCAAAGAGAGGAAGCACCATTTCTTATTGTCTTTAAATAACAATACAGTATCAAGTACTATATTGCTGCCTGTTGACTTGTTACTTTAATATAATACTTTGAATAAGTATCAGATTCTGATCCAGTATTTGATATTGATACCTGTAAGACTGGGATAACTACTTTTCAGATCCACTTTTTAAATTTCTGATCTATGTCCCTTTAACACAAGTCATTCAAACCAGAATGAGGATCAGAATTACTTGGTGTGCCTGTCTACAATAAGATTCCTAACCTTCAGTTCCACATGTGATTCTAATAATGGTCAGTCTAGCCTGATCAGCTAAGATTACAAATTTAAGATAGTTACATCAAGATTCAGCTGTATCATGGAATCCTATAATTTCTAGTATCCCCTTCAACAATGCCCAGTCTTCATTACGGCATATTATTTCCACTCCATGCTTTGAAGCCCATGATCTTAACACAACTATAGAGTTATTATACTGTCAGGCTGGCTTTATAGCAGGACCTGAAGGAGAGGCCCATAATTAAAGTTCACATTTTAGTCTGGACTCTCATTTTTAGTGAGCCAGTGCTCATACAGGCCTTTGGTTTTTAGTTATCAGGATTGGACTATTACTCTAAAAGTCTTTATGATTAGGCAACGTTATAGTCCTTTTAAGAAAGTTTTATTTAAAGTTATTTAGAACTTGTATCTAATTTTCCCATAATAGATCTTAATAGCCAACTTTTTGTATAAGTGTTCAATCAATTGTCAATGATATACCTGTAAACTATAGTGTTTAGAATATATATTAGTCAATATGACAAAGAAACTAATCTTAAAATGTAATTTAATGCCAATAGTGTCAGATCACATCCACCTTCTCTGTGATTCATGTCTTATTTTTACTGCAACAAGTAAAAAGTAAGGAACACTTTAAACACTTTCATTAAGTTCTTCAAGTTTATAGAGGCATAGTGGTAGCACTCCTAAAGACTTTTTTTGATAAAATAAACTAAATTTCTTTGCAGAGCAGAGACTGAATTTTTTTTTATTGTAACCCACAATATAAAATGCACTTATATAAAACCAGCATATATAAAATGGAATTATTCTTTTAATATGCAGGTCACTCTGACCTTTTTTAATGTTTTAGTTTCTAAAATATGCTGGCTGCAACATATTCAAGTGATTTCCTAATCTACCAATAGGTTGAGACCCTTAGTTTGAAACAAAACACCCCCATGCGTACAGGGGAACTAATACTCATTGAATAGCATCTGCTTGCCAGGCACGTCACTAGGCATTGTAGGGAAACCAAGTCTCAGGGAAGTTAAACAATTTGCAGAGAGTTATTCAACTACGAACAAATGAGGCTAGGATGTTAACTAGGTCTGGTGAACTACAAAAACTCTTACTCTCATAGTATGCTATTTCTGTGTATAAAATTGAGGTGGGCCCTCATTCTGCTTCACCCAAACACCCATATATTCTGTAACACAGGATTACTTCAAAATTACACGTGCCATTCATTTGTACTTTTTTAAAAAACTTCTTTCCTCAAAGCAATCTCAAAGTGTTTAACATTGGCCAGTGCAGAAGTACGTAGTGCTGAATTTAGTCCTTAGATTATAAAATGTAAAGTGTTTCTAACCCACCATACATTCTCCAGATTTCCTTATATTTGTGGATTATAATTACCACTTAAGCAGTGATTTCTGTATTTAGTTTAAAAATTAAATTTTTAAGCCATATTTTACTCCAGTGATTATTATGCTTTAAAAGGTGCTCTTGGGAAGCCATGCACTCTGTGTGACACTAGTATTAGAACGTTTTTGACACTGCCTCCAAAGACATTTGGCAAGTCACACGTAAAAGCCATCTCGGTGTTTATTAGTCAAAGACTATACTCACTTGTCCTTATGACCTCTCCTCTCTTCCTTCCTCAGTTTTGCTTTTCTTCTGCCGGCTTAGCTCTCCTAGCCATCTGTGCTGGGGCTAGTCACCTAAGGATGCCCAGAAAGCGGGTATGCTTCCAGGTTATACTGAGCTGATGCTGTTAAAGGGAGAATACTGCGAGGCCCTAAGCCTTCCTCTGGCGCTTTTGCCCGCCCGTAGAGCCGTAAGTAGTTTGCCCAGAAGTAAGATCTGAATACTGGTCTGTCAATCACAAGAGGTTAAAGAAACCTGAAAAATAAATGGGTAACGTACAGCATTACCTATTACAGAAAACAGACCATGCCGTACTTTAAAAAATTGGCAGGTCTCCCCTTTGTCCTTCCTGTGCTCTCTGGAACCTTTGAGAGGAAGGATGAAGAAAAAGAGCCTGGGAAAAGGCTCTCCTGTGGAAAGGCACACTTTCTTCTCCATAACAAAGTGCCATGTGACTGAGGCTCTCAGGCCCTTGTGAATGTCAGACAATGTTCTTAAGTCGTTAGAGGTCAAATAAAAGGTAGGGATGCTTCCCTGCTAGCCTAAGCTAATTTAAATAGTTCAGGTTCTGTTTG